TGTTTATATTTGAAAAAATTACTCGCATTTTTTTTTTTAAATCAACCCCACTAAGCTTTCAACCTTTGATATTTTCCCTGACCAAATAAAATGATCGGCATGGGCCACGTGTGTCCAAGCATCTTTTACTGTTGAGTTAGCAATGGATTACATGACTTCTGAGATGCATTTTTCAATAAAAGTAAAATAGGATAATTCTTTCGACATGTGCACATCCCTGTTACGATAGCAGTATTCAGTTAAATGTTTTTATCACTGCGTTTGACGTGTTTTCTCGACCTGCATTGGTGTTTGGTGCACATGTATGTATTCCGTGTTAGTTTATTTTCTATATTGCAGCAAATGCATTCAAAAATAATTTAATTCTCGGTATAGTTCTATTTTTTGTTGAATTTTTACTTTTCAAACATGTATTTGGTCAGTTTATGGACTTCTAAAAACTTTGTTATCGGAGATGTGTACATGTCGACAGTCAGGCTAGAAAATCACTCAAGTGAACCAATTGTACAAGGCTATATATAGCAGGAACAGGTGACCAAAAATTTTCAATTAAATATGGCGGAATCGAAGAAATATGGCAGACAACGGCGAACAGGAATGTAGTAAGTCGTACAAAGATGAAAAATGATGGCTTTGTAAGAGTTCATGTCAGCTTTAAGCTTACTTGTCTTACATAACTAACACATTCAAATATTCTGGCGTCATCCTTTTCATAACTTTAAAATCAAGCACACGTTTTCTATATATAAAAGAATCATATACAGGCATCCATTTAAGAGCACTAAATATGTCAAGAGTAGGAGTCTGAATGTTTCACATTCATCATAATTCTGGCGTCCCTTTTCTGTAATCTAAGAAGTCTGTCAATTAACTCTTGTTTTTGGCTGAACACCAACAGTACAACAATAGTCAAAATGGGGTAAAATAACTGTGTTATAAACTTTTAGCAAAACTGCCTTTGACATAAAATTTAGTAAACGGCGTAAAATATCTATTTTTATGAAAGTTTCTTACATAAAGAATCAATATGTACAGACCAGGTAAGACATTCATCAATTTGTACGCAAAGTAGTTTGGCACTTTTAACAGTCTCTAACACAACATCACCCACTTAAGCTTTTGTTCAGTACCAATCAAAATGCATTGTGTTTTCTTTAAGTTCATCGCGAGCTTATTACTTTCCATCCATTTCATAGAATTTAAAGGATTATCGTGCAACCTTTGTTCAATAGCATCAATAGATTTATGTGACACATCCTGTGACGTATCATCTGCATAAATTTTGACATTTGAGTGCATCAGCCATTTTGGATAATCATTTACAAATGAGATAAAAAAAACCCCAATATAGATTCCTACGGCACTCCTATTGTAACATCTTTTTCATCAGAGAAGACACTTTTCCAACTAACATATTGTGATCTTCTACTAAGATAAGACTGAAACCAGTTAAAAGATCTTTGACAAATTCCATATGACAAAAGTTTGTACAATACTGCATGATTTACAGTGTCAAAGTCTTTACTAAGATCAATAAAAAGAACACCAGTTAAATTGTCATTATCTATGTAGTTAAACCATTTATGTATATTGTTATGCAATGCCGTTTCACATGAACGCTTTAGCCTGAAACCAGATTGGTGTTCAGTTAAAAGATTATTATTATTCAAATATTAATAAAAAAAGTTAAAATATTCCTCTCTATGATATCAATTTTGCTTACAATTGGTAAAACTAATACTGGTCGATAAATTTTAAGAATAAAAAGGAGTAATTCTAGCTTTCTTCCATTCAGATGGAACAAGTGAACGTATCTTATAGACTTATAAATCATAAAGGTTTAAATGCCGGCAATAACATCTGAACTAATTTTTAACAATGCTACAGACATAGCATCCAATCCTATAGCTTAAGAATTTGACAATGTTTTTATTTCTTTTATGAAAAAAATCTTTCGAAGTATTTGGAATACTAAAAGACCCCAAAAGCATTAAAGGTACTTGGACACAGGTTTTAAGTTATTATTTTCTCTATAATATTTAAACTTATATGCACTCTCACAAATTTAATTTTATTCTTTATGCTTAGGAAAAGTGGCAATCTCGTTTTGTATAAATGAAAAATAGTAATACTATAATCCAGAAAATTCAGAGTAGACATGTTCGAAAGCAAAACAAACACACAATATATTGTCAGTCTGTGCAGTTGTGGTAAGCAGACTGTGACGATTGAACGCACCCGGTGAATTCTAAATATTAACAATAACAGAACTCGAGCCTTGTTTACAAAAACTGTGTACATAACACGAGTATGCTCGATTTGTTAATCTCTGTACGCATCTCTTAGTTCGGAATGACGATACTTGTGAAGATGTTTTGCTTTCTAACATTTCTACTCTGAATAAAATTATTTTTCTTGATAAATTTTTTAATATTTCTCATTAATACACATCAAAATTGCTACTTTTCCTTAGGATTAAGAATAAGGTTAAAATTTGTGAAAGTGCAAGGATGTGTCAATCAAACCCGCCAAAAAAAGTTAAAGTTTTAATAACTTTTAAATGAAATGATTTTTAATTAATTTTTGTGTGAAATGCTATTAAAATATATAAATCGTGATGTTATACAGAAAAAATGAGAAAATATTAACTTCAAATCTGTGTCCAAGTACCTTTAACTGTTCAATTTCTGGTAAGGAATTATCAAATTTCTCAGCAAATTTATGCTCAAATGCCACAAAAGAAATTGTTCAAACTATTGACCATGTCTTGTACTTTGCAATTCACTTTTAAGAATGATGGTGAAGTCGATGCTTATTTAGTTAGTTTAAATTACTTTACGGACAGATGATACAAACAATTTTTTTCTTTGGAGTAGACTAAATATCATTTCACAAGTTTAAAAAAGTGGAGAATTCTTTTCTCTTAAGAACTGGAAAATACAATGTACTTGTAAAATATTACTAATAGTTCCATAAAAAACAATTATGGACAAATCACACTCCGTAAAGGTTTACAGGTAAAAACAAATTTCACAATATCTTAGTTTAGTGCTTAAAATGTAATATAAATATACCAAGCTAGGTGAATTTTATTAGGAAAAGCAAAATGGTATAAATCACTCTATATTATATGGGCTGATTTTTACCATTTTGATTTTCCGCATAAAACTCACCTGGCTTGGTATACTTTTCTAAAGTTTATATTACATTTTTAGCACCAAGCTAACATATTCTGAAATTTGTTTTCACCTGTAAACCTTTACTGAGTGTGATTTGTCAATACTTGTTTTTTTTATTTCATTTTCCAATTCAAAGGAGAAAAAAATTCTAGGAATTATCCACTTTTCTAAACTTGTGACATGATATTAAGTATCCTCCAAAGATAAAATTTGTTTGTATCGCCTGTCCTTAATTCTCTTCACATGTCCTTTGATTTTGTATTGGCTTGATTAATTGCATTTCCCACAAACTCACGTTTTGCATTGTTTATTTAGTTATTTCCCTGTTTCTTGTCGCCGGGTATAGTATCCAATCAGATGGATCACGACTCATTAGAGCAGGAAGGTGAAGGTTATGCGGCTGTCGCATTTCCGAGAGAATCTCGTCATTAATCAATTTTTCCGAATCACTTCAAAAATGTTCTTTTATGGGCATAAGAAGATTTTCACTGGCTTAGTGGTTCTTAAATTGATAATGCCATTTATATCTTACTAATGCTTAAGTATTGCTTTTAAAAGTGGACGTAGTTTTTCCATTTGAACAAATTTAAATCTATTTTACCGAAGGAAAAATGTTTCTCAAGTCTTGTCAAAAATGGACGCATGCATGAAATGTTAAATATTTACAGATGGAAGCCCGGAAGGACACGAATAGGTATTTTCATGCAATACAAAATGTTTGATATATTATACAGATAAGCTCACAAAATTTAAGCCAAAGTGTTAAGGGTCCTCCACACCATGTGACTTGTGACGTATATAGAGAAAAAATACTTTTACTTCCGGTTCAATCGAGTTTCTGTAAGAACGATTTAACCTAACACCGTTTGTAAAAAAATGAACACATGGCATGATCACTGAGTGACCGATGGAAAAGGATGTGCGGTTTTTTTTCTGTTAAATAAAAGAACAACAGACGTCTTGGATTATGTTACATAATAATTCGTAAACAACAGGTACCGGTGGATATGACGAAAAACGTTTAGGTTATTTATCCTTTCAGGCTAATCAACCGAGTCTGTTTTGATAGTTGAAATTTCGGCACACTAATTTGTGCGTTTCAATAATACATTTTCTCATTGTTGTTTATAAATATTAATAAAATAGTGTGTGTTTCTAGTTTTCCTCTGTTATATTTGTCCAGTTCAGTGGCCAGTAATTACTAAATATAGTATGTTGACGTATGCGGAGACTTGCCAAAGTTTTTGAGTCCCGGGCAACAGGAAAGATAACTCCAAAAAGGAACTTTGATACCAAAGATTTTGAAAATGTTTTTTTCTACATCAGTGCATTTAATTTTAATTTAATTTTTTAATGTAATCTAATTCATTAATGTTTCTTCTATACAAAAGGAGTCCTTATTGATTTTTCTCGAGATGTGTTTTAGAGAAAATGAGTTTTATGTTCTTTTTATAAATAAAATAAATTTCTGTAAAATATATGGTGATCGATAAAATTAATTTTTTATGGTTATTCTGTGAGCTTAAAAATATATAAAAGGGTAAGACAAAATTTGTTGTGCTAGGTATGAAAATGCTCTGGGAAAAATTTCTTATAACTTGTGAAATAATTATTTTAAAAAATCAGTATAAATTACATTTTAATCCCTGGAGAGTTTTTAAAGGTTGATATGCTTGTTAAAAGTAATGCTCAAATATGAGAGCATAACCTGCGGGTGTGTGGAGGACCCTTAAACGTATATGTCTGCGAAATCCCCCCAACAAAGTTGATCTTTGAAGAAAGACTTCTACAAAAAGGTAAATTATCAAATCTGTGTCTTACTTGGCACTTTCGATAAGTTCTTTTTTGTCAGGTACATCCCTCTGAACAAGAAGCCCGCGATTCATTTTGGCAGGATCTAGCGCCCAGTTCGATATTCCAATGAACGCTACCTAATGAAAAATTAAAAACTGAAATATATTCCTGGAACTTCTAACATCCGTTTTTCAAGTACTAAGACAGAGATTTCCAGTTTTGTGTATACAAAATGCTTTCAGTACCAGCTTAATTTGAAATACAATTCGATATTTATATCATTATATTGGTGGCTTACAAAAACAGTATTATTAAATGGTTTTACATGTACATATCATTGATATTTAAAAAAAATACTTTCTGGATTTTTTAATCTTTACGAAGATTTGTTAAATGTTATTTGAAAATGTTAATTCATACAAATGTGAAAATAAAAGAATATGATTTGGAGTTACGTTAAATGAGTAATGTACATGTAAATAAGCAAATAATAATGTTTAATGTTAAATCAACTCTAACTAATTTATTTATAGTACAAGAAATACATGGATGTACATGTATGAAAATTTTTTTGGGAAATTAAATAAAAAAATATATATCTTGGATAATGTTTTTGTTCGTTGATGAGTTTCCCTCTCGAGAATTTTTTTTTTCAAACGGTTAATGTAGAAATTAGATTTTTGAACTCAATTAAGTTTGTAAATTGATATATCCTCATTATGATAATTTTTTTAAAATGTTTAAGTTCTTATCACTTCCCATCATGTTTTTTTTCTTATAACAAACACTATTGCATGCAAAATTTAATGCTTTTTTAGTACATTTCCTTGAGTAAAACTTTATCATCAAACATTTAAACGTAAAAATAGTTTTACCAGAAATAAATTTGATAAATTTTGATTGCATGATTGAAAATACGGTACGCTTGAATTGAATCTTGATAAATACATGTTCATTATGCACCACTTTTTTATAACTTACATGTTGACCAATTTGTTATAAGGTTAATAAGAAAAGATGTCATTAAAGTACAGGTGTTGTAATTTATGAAGTAAACCTTTACTTAACGCCAATTGTGTATTTAAAACAGAATTGAATTTTAAATGCTAATTTTACTCTTTCAATAACATTAAAAATTCATACGTTTCATGGGATAATTTAAACTAACCTCAAAAAATAAACTAAACTGTCTTTTCAAAACTATCTAATACATGCACATTCAAAGAAATAATGAAATAAGAATCCCATAGAAATTGTAGGAAACTCATAACAAAAAGTAATATAAAAGAATTCATGAAGAATTTTTGTTAAAAAGTGGGCAAATTGAATTTCTTGTAGCATCTATGGATAACACTGAATGAAAGTTCATTTTTGCTTAGTACTTTACCTTGCGATACATTTCTATTGTATCATCGTCTTGACAACCATCTTCCAATAATGAATGAAGCGCCTGAAAATGGAGATAAGACAAGTATTTTTTTCTTTTACGATTCCTCGATAGGAATATTTTCACTTGATTCTCATCTCAGTTTTGGGGGAAATGTTACTTTTCAAATATGTAAATGGTTTTGTCCGTTTTTTGCTACTAGTATTTCATTGAAATGAAATTCCCACTGTTTTTTTTTAAGTAATGTATATAGGGAGGGATATATTACACTTATAAATACGTGAATAAAATTTGTCTCTTGTGATTTCTAAATTGTTTTCAATATGTTTAAAATGTACGAGGGGCTATCAAAAAGTTCGGGGACTAGCGCCATAAAATTAAAACCGCTTTGGGCACATCAATGAAATTTAAAATATTTATTTATCATCATCTTTTCTATATATAAAATAAACCACAAATCATAATTTTTTTTTTAAACAAATTAGTAGTTTTTGTAAGCCATAGTATGTCCAAACGGCGCAACCTCGAAAACGACGACTTTTCGACGTAAATGTAACAATGAAAAACTATATTGATATGAAAATTTGACATCTAAAAATCCCGTTAATTCAGGTATGTGTTAGAACACTATTGTTCCATAAAATATGGAATATTTACAACATTCTGATCGTTCTATGAAATTTTATTGTAAATTTTACATGGAGTATCCAAACAAATATTGCTGTGAAAATGACGTCAAAAAAGGAGAGGGGTTTCCCTTTTTAACATTCTTTAAAATTTTGACCTCGGAAAGACTGATTTACACCTTGAAAAATTTTAAACTGGCTACGGCAAAATAACATGCATCTAGATAACTTGTTTTTTAATGCCAAAATAAATTCAGAGAGAAAGGGATGCAAAGTTTACGTCGATTTGTAGTCAAGATTTGAAAAAAATCTATCACGTGAAATAATGACGTTGATGACGTGTTTTAGCTATATTGAACTAATTAAAACATTCGGGTAAAATTAAGCGAGTATCTCTCCCAATGTATAAATCCATTTGCAATAATATATGCATTGAAAGCTTTTGTTCATGACATTGTAAAGTCATAAAAACAAGACGAGTTGAGGTCCTTACTCACCTCCAGGCAATCTCATCACAATCAGTGTAGAAGAAGCGGACAATGAAAAATAATGACGTTGTCGCACGTCATGAAACGAAGCGCGACAGCGCCGGGTGATCAGATAATGTCGTTTTTATTTTATGATAATTTGGGAAATAATGAATGTATCAAGCTAAAATTTTCAACATTTCTTTATTTTTTGTTGTTTTATGTTCCTTATAAATTTTGTTAGCTCAGACAATATAGTACTTATTTTATACATGTAGCCTCAGTCCACGAACTTTTTGATAACTCCTCGTACGTACATCAAAAAGTGTGATAAAGGACATTCAGATTACCCATATGGGATACATGTATATAGGAAATATCACCCTGTGGTATCTTGTCGAAATGTCTGGTAAGGTGCCATAATTTTGTGAGCCGACTTGTTTTAGTACCTAGACTTCAATGACAAAGTCTTGGGAAAAATTATATATTTTTAAGGAACGTGTCTTCTGACATTAAAATACAAATTAGCAATTTAATAGGTAACAGTGAATTGAATAAAAAAATAAGAATAAGATGCGCTTTTTGAAAAAAAAATGACTTCATGTTTTTTTTTTTTTTTTACAAATAATATATTTCCGTGACCTTGGAAAGTCACACGCTGATGGATGTAAAAAAAAGTTGCATTTTCATTAAAATATGCTAGATGCAGCTTTCCAAATATGTAAATTACCTTGAGTGGCATTTTTGAAGAATCTTCTGCTAGTCCAACTTCGTCAAGAACAACAACAGACACAAATCGGTTGAGATCCTTGTCTTTCTGGTACATGGCACACTGACGGAAAGTACCTACAATTCCTTCTGGTACAGACAAAGGACTGCATTGAAACGAGACCATCTGCGCCTATTTATGAAAAAAACTCTTTTTATATAAAGATGTTAATCAAATACACAAACAAACGTACCGTAGATGTACTTCTTTTAAACCCTGTATTACACGTTCATACACATGTATACTATGTTTAAAACCATACTTTGACCAAAATTAAGCAGAGAGGGGATGCATATAAAATACAGATTTGTTTTCTATGCTCTACGTGAATGTTTTCAATACGAATTTATAATGCCAATCTGAAGAATAGTCCATAGATCATTGTACAGTCTGTCAATAGTTAACCATTAAATTTGTTGCATTTAACAATATACTGAGCAAATAGATGTAATTTGATTACAGACGATTGTATTTCATAATACAATGTCCTTTTTCATCAAAACGATCATGAACCAAAAACTGAAGTTTAAAAAAAAAAAAAGCGCAAAAACTTGATCGGAACTTAAATCAAAATCTTGTCTTAGCTTATAAAAATTGAACTTTGTAAACCATCACTGTCATTCCTTTAAAAACATACACTTCATCAATTGCCTTTTTTTTTTTTACTATGTGTTAATCATGTTCAATATCGACATATTCCCAGTATACCATATACATGTAAGTAGGAAGAGGATGCTTTTGAAGTGCCATTAGGCACATTGAAATAAAAAATCTGAACTTGTTTTTTTTTCTTTTTGAGCTTTCACTATCATTTACGAGAGATTATCAAAGAGTTCAATAAAAGTGAATTAAAGGTTATACTAGTACTATGCAGGATTTGGTTATAAAATTATTCATTTTGATGTTGTTGAGTCACGTTTTGTCCGCCGTCACGTTATGTCCGCCTCTTTTTCAGAAAAATCGTCACGTTATGTCCGCCGTCACGAAATGTCCGCCTCTTTTTCAGAAAAATCGTCACACTATGTCCGCCGCTACAAAATGTCCGCCTTTCTTCCAAACAAATCGTAATATTATGTCCCCCGCTACAAAATACCTTCCAAAACAAAACGCAGTATTGTCCGCCGACAAGAAAAGACGCCTTTCTTCCGATATAAAAATTGTCAGATTATGTCCGCCGCAAGGAAAAGTCCGTCTATTCTCGGTATACTCGTCACTGATTACACAGTGTCCGCCGTTAAATGTCCTTCAATATTTCGGATTGTAAATATCGTCTCGTAATGTCCGCCTTCACGAAATTAAAGTACGCCCTTTCTTTTACAAAACTGGGACTTTTTAACTATATATATAAATATATAAATGTGTACATATAACTTTTTAATAAACTTTAAATCAAATTTATTTTAATCTTTTTAAATTTGGCAAAATTTTGATTTTTTTTTTTTTTTTGGTCTTAGTCTTAAGTTCTTTTGTGAAACTGGCCCAAGGCCTTTACCTTCTTGAACAAACCAATACAGAATATGTCCCTTTCTAACTTTTAAAAATGATCACGTGTTTACTTCATCCAATGGGGAACGTGTTGCGGGGTCTCACCTGGCCGCAGGTAGGTATCTGTTTTTACTTTGACCCCTGCTGCGCCACGTGACAGGTTGATAAGAAAAATGAAGACTATCGGGTAAGTATAATTATGTTGTAAAATAATTAAAACAGACTGATGATGTATTTATATTAATTTTCTATTACCATCCTCTCATTGTTTATAAGATAAAGTCCTTCCAGATATATTTTCAAGCAGAATGTTCTCAAATCCAGCAATGTTATCTATTTATCATTCTTCATGTTTATTTTAACTAATTATCATTTCTTGAAGTACTTTTTTTTTTAATTTTAACCAATGTGTATTGATTTGTTATGGATAATGTACATATACTACATAATATTATCATTTTAATATAAAAATAAAATGCAAATTGGTTAAAATTGAATTTTTTTCGAAGCGAAATATTTCAGTTTCTAATTTTATAAATAACTTAGTTAATTAAGTTAATTTTTCTAATAAAATTAAATGCATCTGTCGGTTTATACAATGCACGCAATTTCTTGTTTTTAGCATCTTTATAATTAGGGGGATGTTTTTTTTTTTAAATATTGTTTTCATGATGGTTCAAAATTGTAACTATTTGCTTCAAGAATGAAAGAATAGAATAAGCAGTTCGGACATGTTTAATTGTTTATGAATAGAATCAGTAATCTATTTTTTAAAAAAATACATGGAGAGAGAACCTTTCAAAATTCCTGAAACTCAGGAATTGAATGCAATCTCATTGTATTGAAGTTAAAATTTCTCCCATGCTATAAAACAAAAGGTGTGAATCCCAGGTGTCTGTTGAAAAGGGCTTCATTGTTTTAGAATCACAGGTGTCATTAAATGTATAGTACACATCCTGTCTCTACCTGAAAGGGGGTATCTCGGTTGCGTTTGATGTAATTTTGACATGCCCCTCAATCAGTGCGATGTCTTCCATCGGTGCCTCCTACCTATTCCCACTTTTTAAAAATCTCAATTCCACCTATTCCTATTTTTATTACAGTAATTACATCTCACCTTGGATTTACCTGTATTCTATACATTTGAAGACAGAAAATAAATAGTTTGAGAAAAAATTATTCATTTTAATCAATATATGCAATACATATACAAAAAATGCTATAATAAATTTAATTATTTGAAAATAAAGGGTTACAAACCCCTTTTGTATCTTTAAGTGTAAACGTAAAATGGGAAGATTTGTTTTAAAAATGCATTTATTTAAAATAGCTGAATTTTAGAAAATATAATAAATAAATTAACGGGGAAAATCATTTATCAGTAATTCAATAAAAATTTCCAATGTTACTTATAAATATTAGTAAAAAGTCTGATTTAGAATTTCAAAAATCCATTTTTCCTTTCAGTTGTTCATTGATCAACTGTTGATACAGCAGTTATATGTTTTTAAGTTAATCATTTGGTTTACTTAAAAATTCCACCTATTCCCACATAAAATGTTACTTTTTCCTACTTGATTTTCACAAAGTGGGAATAGGCAAAACGAACCCTTGTATCTACTTAAACTTGCTAATAAACAATGACTATTTTGATTTTTTTTTATTTTGAATACTTATATTTTTAATAAAGGTATAATTGTATAAATACAAAACTTACACTGCCCAGAGTACGGTATCAAGATACTTACCCCGTCCTAGGAAACCCGACAACTACATAAATGTTAGTCTTCAATTCCTCTTAAAATATCAGTAATATTATGAGAGTATTATTTTTTACCCAATTATTTTATTTGATAAAAGACGAAAGGTACAATACATAAGCCTCGGGAGAAAAATGAAAGAAAGGAATGGCTAAACTAACAAAAACGCACGAGGGCTAAGCCTCAAAATTCAATTCCTATTTTACATGTTTGACTATCTTTAGAGTGCGACAAAAAGTGTCCGGAAAACAAATTACACAACATCAAAAGTACACACATTCACAGTTATATGTTCAGAAACTACATGCCAGGATGACGGAATATGTACTTGTAGCTATAAACTATGAATTTAAATACGATTGCAAGATTGGATTTTTTTAAATTATAAAGTTTATAAAATAAAGTATCGTGAATGTGTAAGACAGATTGAGAAAACAATGCTGGATAACTTAACGATGAAATCTTCAGATTTAGAAGTTAATCAGAAGAAGCCAGCCAATGTTCATATAATTTATTTCTATATATTCACTAAAACAAAAGAATTGACCAGCATGAGAAAACAGTTTCATGGAAAAAGTAACATTTGAAACGAATCTTGAATTTTTTTTCTACCGCAATGACAGATTTTTCCCACACTAGTTTGTATTTTACAAGTAACGTTAAATCAAGTATTTACAACTTTACAATAAACCTCCAAAATTGGTTGAAACATCTTATCTTGTTCCTTAAAGGGTTGATTTTCTATGAATTTTGGCCTAGAAGTCCTTCAGGGTAGGTCTGCCCCTTGATAAAATTATGATATTTTTGTGATAGATTGAGATCAAACTTCCGCCAGAGATCGTTTGTCTCTCTGTAGATGAGGCCTCAACGGGGAGTATGAGATTGAGATTACGTTGTATTTCCATTAGTGAACTTTTCAGAATATAGAGCCGCGTTTGGTCGACTGACTAGGACAGCATGGTATAAAACATGCCAAACTCAGTTCAAATTTAAATGTACCTGCCGCTCCAGTTAAAACTTAAAGGAACTTAAAGACATGTAAGAGAGTGAGAACCCTAATTTTATCGATTATAAATAAAAATACGACATTTCAAAGGCATGTGTATTGTATTTAGATGATACCATAAAATAAATAGATTTGTTCATTTTCCAAATTTTCACAAAAGAGCATGGTTTAACCCCCCCCCCCCTTGAATCAACCCTCGCTTTGAAATCTTCCGACACCTATGATAGGGCTCTAAGAAGTGTATGTAACTCTTCTATGGCGGAAATAGAATGTACCTTTGAATAGGACTAATGGGCATCACTGCCCTTGAGTCGAAATTCACCAAAAAGAATATAAATAAATAGAAAAAAGTTGAAATACGTGCTGATAATTTACATTCGAGGTATCGAATCATTCTGGTGCATGCCACACTTAATATTATAGTTTTAATTTTTCGAATTTTCAAAGACTATATTTGGATTTTTTATACGCTTGTTTATTTTTCTAGACCTATTCTCGATACATATAGTAACATAAGAAATACTAAAAAGAGATCAAATCTTTACATTCCAATGTACAGCTGTGCTATTAGTCCTTCTCTGGGTTACATGTAGTATTGTTTTAATTATTTGAGCTTAATATATCAAGAATAACATACAGTCATGTATACATTTGTTTTGAGTCAATGTTCCCGTTTGAAACGGTAGGGACACATTACACATAACTGTTGTCCTTGGCATGATTTCCAGGCGCGGATCCAGAAATTTTTTCCAGGGGGGGGGGTCCACCTCAGTCAAAAATAAAAACCCAATCCCAGAAATTTCTCGACAAGCAAAAAAAAAAGGGGGGGGGGGGGGAACTCGCCCAAACTTCAAAAACCTATTTCGTAAGGGGGGGGGGGG